ATAAATAAATAAATAAATAAATAAATAAATAAATAAATAAAATTTTCGACAGGCATTATCTACTTGGCTGCAAAAGAGGTGGAGACGTCATCGGAGCAGCATCAGACAGCTGTCAATCAAAAGGAGCAGTGTTTCTCCTGCATGCTGTGCCAATATAAAACATTCCAAGAAAAGAGATTCTCATAATGGAACCTRTGTCAAAAAAGAAACACAAATGCAGCTACAACAGAGACTGGGAAACAGTTTACAACTGGGTGAAAGGTGGCCCTCAGACAGCTTTTTGTGAAGTTTGTCAAAGTTTTTTTTTTCCAATATCCCATGGAGGGGAACACGATGTCAAGCGACACAATAAAAATGAATCGCACAACAAACKGACAGTTCAGAAAGCCGCCTGCCAATCTGTGGATACATTTTTACTGAAACCAAAAAATGAATGCCAGACAGACAAGGTAGCAGTAGCCAAGATGAACACCGTTTACCACACAGTGCAGCACTCCCTGCCCTACAGGTCAGCAGACTGCAGCGGTAAGCTAGCACCTACCATGTTTTCAGACTCTGAAATAGGAAAGAAAATGTGATGCCAACATACAAAAACATTGGCTATTGTTACAGATGTGCTTGCACCTGCCTCTGTGGAAAGTTGCTTAAAGGATTTAAGAACACCAGTAGCCCAGTGTGTGACAAAGCTAAACATGTACACACTCCATTTTTTTGAGTAGCATCAGATGCCTCTATTGTACAACAAAGCTCTTCCCCTTGTCTGTTAGATACTGGACACCTACATCAGGCTTGAAAAATAAGATCTTGGACTTTTATGAGGACAGTAATGAGACATCTGGTTGCATTCACAACCTACAAAGAAACTGAAATAAATARGCTTATGCCTGGACATGGTTTCAGCATTTACTGCAAATAATGCCAGTGTCAATTGTGGCAAAACCAATTCTGTGTTTCAGAAGTTAAAATCAGAAAATCCTGGAATCGTAAAGACAAACTGCATGGTTCACATTGTGTGCAATTGTGCAAAACATGCTGGAGACAGTCTAGATATTGACACTGAATCAACAATTAACAAAATTTTCAGCCACTTTTCACTATCATCAAAAAGAAACTGAAGAACTGAAAGCAGTGTTTGCATTTGTTGAAGAACAGTACCGTGCTGTGCTGAGACACGTACCCACAAGATGGTTAAGTTTGTGGCCTGCAGTCAAAGAGACTTCATGAGAGATGGACAGCTATAAAGTGTTATTTTTTGTCATTGGGAAAAGATCAAAATCTCTGTGGAGGCTCTTTAAAAAAGATCAGGACAGTGAAGAGCACCCACTTGAGCTGCAGTTTTATCTGTCCTTCCTCAGTAATGTGCTGAAGTTGTTTCAAGATGCTGTGCTGATGTTGGAGGGAGAGGACAGGACCGTCTGTGAGTTATATGAAATCATGCTCACTCTACAAACAAAGCTCCAACAACGACTGATGGATTCTTTCTTTGGAATGGAGACCAGCGTGCTCCTTCAGCATTTTCCAGAGTAAAAAGCTGTTGCAATCAAGAGCAATCTGTCAAGTTTTTACACAACTGCACACACATACCTGGAGAAGTGGTACTCAGATGACAACTACCAGAAAAATGTTGCCAGCTTGACACTGAAATGCAAGTTCACCTTCTCTCATCTCACGGATGCAGTGGAGGTCCTTCAGATAAGAGGAAAACTGGACATGGATGAACTGTATGAGGAGTACTGTTCTGCTGAGCTCATCAAGTCTGAAATTCAAGTAAAGACCAATTTTAAATATAGTTGTAAGGAGTTCTACAGATATGTACTTAAAAAGAAAGTGCTTTTGGAAGCTACAAAGTCCAGCAGAAAGTACAAAGTCAAGCAGATCATCTAAGCTTACTTAGTATAGATAACAGGGATAATAGTAGCTGTTTTGTAATGCAACATCTTTGACACCAAGTATTACTGTTCTGGTCAACTCTTGTGATTTCCAAAGTTGCTGCTTGTAAGTGTGGACTTGTGTGGGCATTGTGTTAAGTTGAAAGGAGTAGTTATGCTTTGTGATAAACTAAAAACATGATGTTAAACTTAAAGGCACAGTGTGTAGGATTTTGTCAAGTCTTTTAGCCGAAACTGATATATCACTAATGACAATAATAAAAATCATGTCTAATCATTGCAGACAAAGACCTTGTTTTATTATTTTTACCTTATAAAAAGCTGTTTATATCTCCATGGTCGCGGGTTGCCACACAGGCAGCTGCCATCTTGCACTGTCATCTTGTCTACGAAGGCTCAAGAAGGACAAACTGCGGTGGCGGCGTCAAAAACGGTTTTAGTTGTAATACTATAAATGTAATATTTGTTGTCTGTCATTGTAGCTGGGATAATTTTACTTATTAAAGCTCATAATCTTACCACTTGAAACATCACTAGCCCTGAAGCTGCTGGTAGACATCGCATTTGGAATTCTCAAAGAATTTTGACATCTGAGTGACACCGTAGAAACTCCTTTGTGTTAAAAGTTAAAACAGTTACTTAAAAATATGAAGTTAAATGTTTAATTGCATTTTTTTATAAACTTGAATTATTTCATTGTTTTGCACTAAGAGAGATCAATTAATGTAATGTGAAACCTGCAAAAAATTAAAATTTATGATGACATCACAGTACTGGTGATGTGTCCCACATTGTCTCTTGTAAGCACCATTTTCGTCCCACATTTGGATTCTTGGGATCTGGTCACCCTAAGCTGAGCTGTAATCTGATCACCACCTGGTGGTGAGTTGGATCAGATGGCGGGGGAAGATGCCAGAAAGACATGGTAGATCCAAATGTGTAGTGAAGGTTTGCTGGGAACGCCTGGCAGARGAAMCCATCAGAAAGATCTTGAACTCACACCTTCAAGAGAACTTTGACCACATCTCAGCTGAGGTGGGGGACATTGTGTCTGAGTGGGTCACGTCCTACACCTCAATTGTTGAGGCGGCTGYCTTAAGCTGTGGCTGCAGGGTTGTCTGTGCTTCTCATGGTGGCCGTCGTTGAACTGGGTGGTGGAMACCCTGGGTAAGGGAGGCTGTCAAGCTGAAGGAGTCCCATTGGGCCTTGTTGGCTGGTAGGACTTCAGAGGCAGTTGAGGCGTATTGTCAGGCCAGGTGGGCCACAGCTTTGACTGTAGCTGAGGCAAAARCTCAGATGTGGAAGGAGTTCAGKGAGGCCTTTGACRAAAACTCTAAATTKGCTCTGAGGAGTTTCTGGMAAACAATYCAGTKTTTTTATTGAATAAAACCAAAACATACTTTTATATTTTGGGACTCCAAGTAATATTAAACATGTGAAATAAAAAGTACCTGGTAAATGTGGAAGTTACCTTGATTTAGTGTTTTTAAAAACACAGGCTGGTGTGATCATGGAAGTGAATAAGAATGAAGGACAATAATTATTTGTACAACAAGAATATAAGAATAAAGAAAAATTATAAAGCAATAAACACTGAGTTCATAACTAAACATAGTAAAATATTTTTGATGATTTTTTTTGGTATATCTTATTGTTTTGAAATGATTGCTTTAATAAATTCAAATATTACAGTCTGAGACTACACAATATAATCACTAGGTGGTGATGTTGCTCCCTGTAAAATTCWTCATCCTCGATGAGAACCTTTTGTTACAACAGAGTAACTGTTAAATAGTTGTATGGTAAAAACATGCATTCGTCCATGTTTTTCTTAATTGCTTCATGTTTATCTGCCCTAATTATATTCTTAATTATTTTTCTTCTGGGCATAAAATACGTGTCTGCCAATGATTGTTGGTCGATATTATTA